GTCTCGAACTCCTGACCTCAGGTGATCTGCCCGCCTCAGCCTCCCAAAGTGCTGGGATTACAGGCGTGAGCCACTGCACCTGGCCCAAAGTTTATTTTATAGTACACCTTTACTAAGGAGCATCTTGTCCCCACTCCCTACCAGATTGAAGGATTTCAATTGAGACTTTTTATTGAGAATGAGTGGCATGTGTGTTTGTTTTAACACTCCTCTTCCTATATTTGCTTTTCTTAATATGTGTGGGAAAAGCCTTAATATTTTCAGGAGTTAGAATAAACTATTTTCTATGCTATGTCTAATGGATGACTATCAGAGCAGAGCTTTTTTTTTGTTTTGTTTTGTTTTTGAGACAAGAGTTTCACTCTTGTTGCCCAGGCTGGAGTGCAATGACACGATCTTGGCTGACTGCAGCCTCTCCCTCCCGGATTCAAGTGATTTTCCTGTCTCAGTCTCCTGAGTAGCTGGGATTACAGGCGCCCGCCACCACGCCCAGCTAATTTTTTGTATTTATAGTAGAGACGGGGTTTCACTATGTTGGCCACGCTGTCTCAAACTCCTGATTTCAGGTGATCTGCCTGCTTTGGCCTCCCAAAGTGCTGGGATTACAAGCGTGAGCCACCATGCCTGGCCAGAGGACAGAGTTTTCTTATACTTTTACCAAATGTATTCATTCTGTACTGGCTTACCTGGTTTATTCTTTTGCCTTCTTTTAGAGGTCTACTTCAAATTAAGTTTTTCCAGCGTCATGCTTACTAAGCTCGGCATACAGTTTATTCTGTCTCCATAGCACTTTTTACACAATTTTGTTAGCATTTATTACTGTAATTGTAATTATTTTCATGCCTGTCGACTGTGCTGTTGAGCAAGGTTAGTATTTCTAATTTATAATAGGCTCTTATATTTATGGAATAAGTTTAAAAGTACAATCTATATGTAAAGAGACCTTTCAATGCTGTTGTTACATTCAGTTATCATACTAATATTTACAGTGGATGCATTGATTTGTAGGAAGTGTTTGGTTGTGTTTTAGCCTGTCATATGAGAAAAGGGAGTGTTATGTGACATTTTAGTGCCATCTATTGGACACTTGGTAAATGGCTTTTAAAAGCTTTTGTTTTTTGAAATAAGGATCTTTTGGAAAAAAGCTTCTGAAATTGAGAACTTAAACTCATTTTATCGTAAACTCATTTTATCGTAGGCTGTTGTGGCTGGCATTGCTGTGTAAACACATATTCCCCTCCCAGACCAGCAGTATTAATATTAAACCAACAGATAAAATATTAATAATTGGCTACAGTTTAACTTAGGTTTCTAAAGAAAGCCAAGATACTCAGTGTAAATGTTAAACGAGAAGTTTTAAAATGCTCATCTGGCCAGGCACGGTGGTGCATGTCTGTAGTCCCAGCTATTTGGGAGGCTGAGGCTGGAGGATCCTGAGTCCCAGGAGTTCTGGGCTGTAGTGTGCTATGCCGATTGGGTGTCTGCACTAAGTTCAGCATCAATATGTTGACCTCCCAGGAGTGGGGGACCACTAGGTTGTCTAAGGAGGGGTGAACTGGCCCAGGTCGGAAATGGAGGAGGTCAAAACTCCCGTGCTGATCAGTAGTGGGATCGTGCCTGTGAATAGCCACTGCACTCCAGCCTGGGCAACATAGCAAGACCCTGTCTCTGGGAAGAAAAAAAATGCTCATCTGTTAAAACTAATTTTACTTAGTGAGAAAACATAGTGTGGGAAAAAATTTTAGTTGGAAGAAAAGGCATAACTACTACACAATGTATTTCAGTTAAGTACTATTTGAATACCCAAACATTTGTTGAATACTCAAACTGGTGGTGCTATTTTGTATGTTTTGAATAATAAACTTTTAATGATAGTATCACTGTGGAGTGATAAATGTGAGGAAATAGGTGTGGTGTGTGTGTGTAAGGTTTGAAGAGCAGTGAACTAGAAGAGGAGCTAAGGCGAGTTGTACCACTAATATTCTGAAATCCACGATAATACTGGCTTTCACATATATATGTGTATATATGTATGTGCATATATATGTATACATACACAAAATTATATATTGAACATAATGTATGTGAAGAGCTCCTGCCCTTAAGAAACCGTCAGTCAAGGATGAGAAAATTTTGATTGACAAGTGAGAAACCGATACTGTTACACATGCAACTTGGAAAATGCTTAAACTAAAAGTGGAGTTTTGTGTATTAGCTGTAGATTTCTAATTATATGTTGTCTTTATAGGAATGAAACAAAAGATGTGTAAGCCTGTTTTATAATTAGTAATGCTGTTGGTGTGCTTTGTACTTCCCCATTTAAAAGGATTCTTCGTTTTGACGCTGTAATTCACTCTGAGTGGATTTTCTAAGGCAAGAAAGAGTATTCTTCCTTAGAAACCCAGAGGAATTTCTAGTTGCTTCTGAATGGGATATCAGGCAAACATTTAATCTTTTATTCAGTGCCTTGTCTTTTGGCAGAACAGTTTTCTCACTTTTAGGTTTGGATGAGACTTTAGATGTGAGACAAAAGATTGATTCTTGGACTCTAAAATTTATCTAAAAACATTTGTTCTCATATGAATAACATGTACTTTAAGCATTTTCAGAGTTTTTTGGACATCTTATACTTTGAACATAAGAATAGCATTGATGGAAAGAATATGAGAACCAAATGTAGTTTATCAATTAGAAAATAAACAACCATAGTTTTGTGAAATATGTGTGGTACCGTGGAATTTGAAGTTAGAGAGATTGGGTTTAAGTCCTGGCATTATAACTCACTAGTGTACCTTGTGGGGGAAGAAAATACTGTGTCAAACTGCCTGTAAAAAAATGAAACAACTGTCCAGGCACAGTGGCTCATGCCTGTAATCCCAGCGCTTTGGGGGGCCGAGGCGGGAGGATCACGAGGTCAGGAGATTGTGACCATCCTGACCAACATGGTGATGAAACCCTGTCTCTACTAAAAATACGAAAAAATTAGCTTAGCGTGGTGGCGCACGCCTGTAATCCCAGCTATTCAGGAGGCTGAGGCAGGAGAATTGCGTTAACCCAGGAGGCGGAGATTGCAGTGAGCCAAGATCATGCCACTTAACCACAGCCTGGGCGAAAATACGGGACCCTGTTTCAAAAAAAAAAAAAAAAAAAAAAAAAAGAACAACAACTACTTTGTGAATGTTAACTATTAATTTGAGACTTTGTAATTCTTTTCATTAAAGAGAATAAACAGATTGGTATGGCAGACACTGGTGTCCGAAGATTTATGTTTGTACTTTTTAGCTGTGTTTGGTGTACCTCATACTCATAATTCAGCTGTTCTCTTTTTGGTTTGTAATTCTTATGAATGCTAATAGCTACATGAGCTCAAAACCTTTAAAAATATTAATATAAAATGATTTTAGTTCTAGGCTATATTAATTTTGTATTTACTATGACCTAGTGAAAATTGAAATATAGTGAAAGTATTTGGTAAAGTTAAATCATTATTGCTGTATTTTAAGTTGGATTAAACATGTAGGTTGTATATGAAATTGTAATAATGGAGCAGAACCATATTTAAAATACTTTATTTGTAGTTTTGTTTGAACATTTTAAAGAAAACTTTGGGTGCAGAAGAATACTTGAGAAAAAGTTTCTATATTAAATAAACCCCAGCTTGATTATTTGTATTACCTCTTTTGTAAACGTAATCAAATTATCAGAATTTAGAATATTATATAAAATTTTTTTCCACAGTTTTGAAGCTTTCTTAATTTTGGATGTTCTTTCTAAATCGCTTTTTGTAAAAAACAAGAATTTATGTGGGTAAATAGTGGGTTTATATATTTATGGGGTACATGAGATACTTTTGATATAGGTATACAATGCGTAATAATCACATCAGGGTAATTGGGTTATCCATTCCCTCAGGCATTTATGCTTTCTGCTACAAACACTCCACTTATACTCTTAAAGTGTACAATAAATTAGTGGTGTAGTCAACCTGTTGTGTTTTCAAATACTAGATCTTATTCATTCTAACTATATTTTCGTGCCCGTTAACCATTCCCGCAGACCCCCCACCCCTGACTTTATTGCTTTTTAAATCAAGGAAGGGAGAGTTCGTTTTTTGTTAAATAGAAAGATATGCTTATTTTCTTGTCTATTTGAATTGACTCATCCATTTGTTTCCCTATTACAGCATTTTCTTTTGTATCTTAACACATGGGTGACTAGACACAGATTTACCTAGCAAAAGAAATAATGTTCCTGATTTTCTTGATAATCAGTGACCTCACACTGTAAAATTACATTCTTTTGCAGTATCCCTTTTACTATTCAGCGACTATGTGAATTGTTAACAGATCCAAGGAGAAACTATACAGGAACAGACAAATTTCTCAGAGGAGTAGAAAAGGTATTTATTTTATTATTGGAATTATGCTGCAGTTTAACAACTTTTATTAGAAAAGATGATTGAATAAGATCTGTTTCAGGTACCTGTTCTTGAAATATGTTTTCCATCCTACCTTGAGTTTCCCAAATTGTTTTCCAAGTTGCATTTTATGTTTTACGAAGAGATTTAATAGGAGCAGGTAGGGGAGGGTTTGCATGTTGATCATTGAAGTTTGGGAAAAGCAGCTTATTATTTCTTGGAAAATCATAGTGTACATCAACTTATTAAAGGTTCTGAGAAGTTATAATTGCTATTTTAACTTTACAGAGTGTTTTATAAAGTTTATTTATGCATGGAATTTATTTTCTCAATCCTGGAGTTCAGAGGTACATAACTTTGGAAACTTACTGATGCAAAGCTTGTAAATGAGGTATTGAGTAGAAAGATGCAGGTGAGATTGAGGGATAAACATTAGTGTTTGTGTGTGTGGAGGGAGTTGAGTGAATGTTAGAGTAAGGGAAGGGTATTCTGAATAAAGGAAATGGTGTGAAGAACAAAGATTCAAGGTATTTAAGGGAGTGAAAAGTAAGAAATTGACTTGAGTGAAAAATGAAGGAGCCCTGTGAGAACCAAGATCGGACTAACGAGTTCTAGTTTTCTGTTGATGATTGGTCCTCAAACACTCCAGTGTTCATTTTAAGGATCTGGTTCAAATTCACTTTATTTTACCCTGGAAACAGGAATCGTAAACCATTACATAGTGATTTGCAATAGCTCTTGAGGCCTTACTGGGTTAATATGTTTTGTTGATCCTCTGTACACTCAATTGAATAATATCCCCAAAGGCCAGGAAACTAAGATGGTTCATCAGTACTTATTTTTCAGCTCCAGGAGTTTTAATAATTAGATTTCTGAGATCTTTGGGTGAAGAAGCAATATGTTGCAGTAGTCATACCAGGTGCCCTGCCTTTAAATCAGGGTTACAGTGCTTCACAGTTGTGTAACCTTGGGCCAGTTAGCTTTCTTCTCAGTAAAATGTGGTTAATAATAGGGCTGTGAGGGGGATTAAATGCAAAACACTATGGCTTATAAGTTAACACTGACTACTAGTAAAGTTATTTTTACCAGGAAGATTGTGAATATATTACAAAAAAGGTTTGAGTCTCTTTGTGTGGGATGTATGATGCAACATAACAAGCTATGGATTGGGTGTTGCTTTGTAATGAAAATCAGTTACATGTGTCCTACATACTTCAATCTCTCGACATCTTTGGGTGATTCCACCTAAAATAAGAGAGCTTGGTTCCACTACTACATATAGTATATGATGTCAGAGGTCTAGAATAAGTAGATTAGGGTAAAAAATAAGTCTAGGGAAAAAAAATCAGTGGCTGAGTAGGATACTCTGTTTTGGTCCTTTTAGTTTTTGTTGTTTTTATTTTTAACCATTTATTTTTCATTTAACTGGTTTTCATTTTTAACCATTTATTTTTCTTTATTAGCAAAATTAGAATCAATGGAATTTAACCCACCACCATGATTTGAGAAACAAGTTAAAAACAAATGATTAAACTTTATGTTGTAGTACTTTTCCTCATACTAAATCACTAATTTTTGTTATTGCAGAATGTGATGGTTGTTAGCTGTGTTTATCCTTCTTCAGAGTAAGTATATTTTTTCTATTTCTAGTATATTATTTAATACTGTTTTTAATTATTTTATTGCTTCTAATACGTTATTCTTAAAATATACTGGATTTATTTTACATGTAATTAAGTGTGATAACATACTTGTGAACCTACCATTCAATCCCCAAAGTAGAATATTACTGATAACATTATCTGTATGTTTTTTTTTTCCAGTAAAGAGATGTGAATTAAAGAGATTAGTCATTTACTATAATTTAAATGTTACTGGATTTTGCATACTGTCAAATGGCACTCATTTCCCTGAAATGCCATCTTAGATGTCTTTCCATGGTATCTCTAGGGCATAATTCCCATATTTGGAATAACTGCTTGATGGCTTTTCTCTTTATGATGGAAAAGTGTTTGTAGTTGTCAAGATTTATATACAGCAAAGTAAGAATTAAATTTAGGACACAGTTTCTCAACCTTGGAACCATGGACATTTTGTACCAGATAATTCTATTGTGAGTGGGTGTCCTGGGAATTATGAGATTTTGCAGTGTCCTAGACCTCTACCCATTTATACCAGTAGTGTTCCCCTCTTCAAATATCTTTAGACATTGCCAGATGTTCTCTGGGGATGTGGAGTACAGGGAGGGGAGGTTGTCCCTGCTGAGAACCATTGGTTTAAGGTTAATCTGGCTCTGCTTTCATAGACTACTCTGTTACCCAGGCTGGAGTGCAGTGATGAGTGATCATAGCTCACTGCAGCCTTAAACTCCCAGGGGCTTAAGTGATCCTCCCACCTTGGCCTCACAAAATGCCAAGATTACAGGTGTGAACCACAACGCCCAGCCCAGTGAATTTGTTTTTTAGAATGTTCTCAAGAATATAATTATGTTGTTAAATAAGAGTCTAAAATAATTCCATACTACGTTTCTTGACAGAAAAACTATTAAAATGTATAAAATTTCTTTCCTTTATGAACCAAAATATGTTTTGTTTTGCTAATTAATGTGAGGTATTTTGGAAAAATGGTAAAGAAGTGCAGTCAAGACATAGTGACTAATAACGGATTCTTTTCTTAAATTGTATGCTTATGCTAATTCTCACAAAGGTCTTTTTGTTTGGGTCTGTGACAGATCTTACAAAAGATCTTTTAGACCCATGATTCATACCAAAATTAAAGAATTAAGTCGGAATCAATCTCCCACATTGTCTCATCTAAGAAAGGACTTGCAGACCAGCAGCCCTCCAGATGATGCAGTGGACACTAATGGCCTCCTGGACCTTTGAGGAAGATTTGAGCTGTCTGGGAAAAGCAGACAGTATTCACTTGATGTATTGGAACCCACACCCAGCATTGGGGATGTTAAGGACATTAAAAAAAGCAGCCAAGTCTGTGCTAGACCCAGCAAATAAATCTCATTTCCACCCTGTGACCCCAAGTTTAGTATTCTTGTGTTTTATATTTGATGGGTTACACAAGGCATTACTAAGTGTTGGTGTGAGCAAGAGGTCTAATTGTGGTTGGGAACGAGAACAAGGAAATGGGTACTCCTTATGCTAGCAGTTTGAAAAATATGCCTAATTTTATTGCCCTTGAGAAGTCATCAGCTCTCTGCCACTGCTGTGGCCTTTTGATAGGCATTGTCGCCGGATCAAGTGTTAAGATTGGAACCAGCAGTCTCCAAGTTCAGAGACGATTCAAGGCAATGATGGCATCTATTGGAAAACTTTCACATGGTGAGAGTACTGATCTGCTGATCAGCTACAATGCAGGATCAGCCATAGGTTGGATCAGCTCAAGACCATGGGTTGGAGAATTAATGTTGACATTTCTGTTTGGAGAATTTGAATTCCCTGAATGCAAGCTACTTGGTCAAGTCAAGCTAGTTGCTAAGAAAGCACAGATGAAAACCTGTTATGCTGTGAGAATGTTTCTAGATCAGTGCATGGATGGCTCCACTGCTCTACCTGCCATTGTGTCTGAGATCCCAGTCTTTGAGGAGAAAAAAAACAACGGTTAAAAAGGCACTGGGGAAGTATTTTGAGTTTGGGAGTTTACTTTGCCTCACTGTGAATGTTCCCAAACTTAGCAACAGCAGCAAACTACTGGGCCAAGAGAAGCAACCCCACATTTTCAAGATTTAAAGCTCCTGGTGTTATACCAGGATTAGTCATCACACTCCCTTTGCTTCAAATAACATCCACATGTAAGATCTCAAAGGGGAGCATTGGTGGAATCATGGATCCATGCACTCAGGAAAAAAAAAAAAAGGCTGGGTGCGGTGGCTCATGCCTGTAATCCCAGCACTTTGGTAGGTCAAGGTGAGCAGATCACTTGAGGTCATGAGTTCAAAACCAGCCTGGCCAACATGGTAAAACCCCGTCTCTACTAAAAATACAAAAAATAGCTGGACATGGTGGCGCACATCTGTAATCCCAGCTACTTGGGAGGCTGAGGCACAAGAATCACTTGAACTTGGAAGGTGGAGGTTGCAGTAAACCGAGATTGCGCCACTGCACTCCAATTTGGGTGACAGAGCCAGACTCCATCCCAAAAAATAAAAAAAATGAAGTCATCCATAAGTATATTTTCTTTTCTTATAGGAAGAACAATTCCAATAGTTTAAATCGAATGAATGGTGTTATGTTTCCTGGAAATTCACCAAGCTATACTGAGAGGTGAGATTATTGATTTTTAGTACCTATGGAGTTTGTGTTGTCCTGATTTCAAGTGGCACACTTAGTGTACTTTTTAAAAATTGGGCATTTTGTGGACACTATAAGATGAACTACATAGAATTTATTAATTTGATAAGCCATGGGCCTGAAAACACAAGTTGCAGCAAATACTTCCGTGATATATTCACATAAACATACCGTAGGAGGGATGACTTTTTATAAAAATAGGAAATGATGTTTATTTATCTTATTATAGGTCTAATATAAATGGGCCTGGGACACCCAGGCCACTTAATCGACCAAAGGTTTCTTTGTCAGCTCCCATGACAACAAATGGGTTGCCTGAGAGCACAGACAGCAAGGAGGCAAATTTGCAGCAAAATGAAGAGAAAAATCACAGGTTTGTGTATGTTTTATATTAAAAATAATATTTTTATTAGTAGTTAACAATCAGTACTTATCACTTACTATTTATAAGTTCTGAGTGACAAAACAAGGTTTTCATGTGGTTTATAGGAGCAGTGGCTTCTCTTTGCAGCAGTAGCAAATGTTGAAGGTGGACATAGACAAGACTTAAAACTGCTAATTTGGGGAGACTGTTTATGTAGGGTCTAACTGTAAAGTAGTTTTGATACATTTCATTTGTTATTTCTGAAAGTTACTTGAAAGAGAAAAGATCTTTATAAATAAGTTGGTTTTGTGAATAGTTTCTCATTGTAGTTCATAAAAGGACATCTTTTATTTATACCTTCAAATTTTCTATATCACACTAAGGGAAGGAAGACTGAATGAGGGAGAGAACTTAGTATTTCTGTGTGGAAGACTTGTGGTTTTATTATAGGAGAATATTTAATTTACTGGAGAATTGCACAGAAAAGTCATAAAGCTTTTCTAAGTCCTACTGGGAATTATTCATCAAACAGTTTAGGTTGCCTTGAAATTATTCTGTTTGGTTTTTCTTTGCTCAGGTGTTATAATTTAACTTTGACACTAAAATGCAATTTAAAACACTAACCTTAAAAATGGGGGTGTAGAAGATGGGGAAAATAATTTTATTAACGACACTATAAAAAAAAACATTTACAGTGACTCTTCGACATCTGAATCAGAAGTTTCCTCAGTGAGCCCTATGAAAAATAAACATCCAGATGAAGATGCTGTGGAAGCTGAGGAGCATGAGGTAAAAAGACTCAGGTTTGACAAAGAAGGTGAAGTCAGAGAAACAGCCAGTCAAACGACTTCCAGTGAAACTTCTTCAGTTGTGGTAGAAGAAACAGAAGCATCATCTTCATCTCAGGATAAAGACAAAGAAAGTCATTGTACCCGGCAGCACTGTACAGAAGAGGATGAAGAAGAGGATGAAGAGGAAGAAGAAGGTATTTAGAGACCATCTGTAAAAGGGTGGAGTAAGGAGATCCTCAAATTCTTGTACTTCATTTTTTTTCATGAAAGAATTTTACGTAACGGAACTCCTTATAATGCTGATGTTGGGCTTTTCTCCCACCTGTATGTAGTTGCTGCTGAATTTCAGGGGATATGATTTGAACTATAGAATATCAGAATTCATGAAACTTAACTGTGGAGGTATTTTGAAAATAAAATTTAACTACAACAACATTTGCTTATTTTTAGAGTCTTTTATGACATCAAGAGAAATGATCCCAGAAAGAAAAAATCAAGAAAAAGAAACTGATGATGCCTTAACTGTGAGTGAAGAGACTTCTGAGGAAAATAATCAAATGGAGGAATCTGAAGTGTCTCAAGCTGAGAAAGATTTACTGCACTCTGGAGGTAGTGAAAACGAAGGCCCTGTAAGTAGTGGTTCTTCTGACTGCCTTGAAACAGAAGAATTAGTAGGATCCAATTCCAGTAAAACTGGAGAGATTCTTTCAGAATCATCCATGGGAAATTATGACGAAGCCACAGAAGTCACCGATGAACCAATGGAACAAGACTAACTATTTAGAAACATTTAGATGCAGTATTTTACATACAGTTCTGGTTTTAACACTGTATAAAACTTTTATGTAATAAAGTGGACCTTTAGTTTTACAAGAGAAGCAGGTTGTAAAATAAAGTACTTTATGGATAATTCCTGAAAGAGTTGTATATGTAAGAACTGTGAATATCAGCTCCTCTGGGTCCTGCTTACCTTACCCCTGACTTTTTTTTTTTTCTCTTTTTCTTTCTTTGGTCTGGGCAAATCAGTGGTTTGTGTATAGATTTTTTTTTTTTTTTTTAAATTTGGAATTAAAGTTTTTAAACTGGAAGGTAATAATTATAATTTTGAAAAGTTTTTTGAGATTATCACATTTAGTTTATGCATATGCAAGAAGCTTCTTGTCTCTTTCTGATAGCTCTAGCAGTTTTCATATTTTGGTCATAGTTTCAACATATTAACATGTGAATTATAGGGTTTCAACCTGGTTTCCAGATTTTATTATTTGGCTATGTACAATGGAACTTTAAGTCATATATACATAAATATATATATAAATATATATATATTATTCTAAGGGGGGAAATGTTATATTTTTCTGTTTCTATAAGAGATGAATACAGTGGATACTTTTTCTATTGGTAATGATTGAGTTCACCTCTTTCAGAAGACATTTTCTTTCTCTTCTGAGTAATTGAAATAAAATCTGGCCCTTGTGAAACCCTGGAAATCTTAAGTCTGTTGAAATACCAGGCTAAACACATTCCAAGAAATCTGTTCAAACTCAAATTCTTTTGTATACTTGTGAGGTGCCTGAGAAAAAGACTTCATTATTTATGAGAAAATATGCTTTATCTTGGAAATTGTGTTCAAATGTTAGCTTACTATTTTGTAGAATGAATGCTTATGAAGCTGATAGGAGACCATCTCAGAAGAACCAAGCAGGTTCTGTGACCTTTTGCTTGCTTTTCGGAACATTGTGAATATTACACGTCTTTCTAAATTATTCTAGAGTATGCAAATGTCAATGGTATGAAACACCACTGTACTGGAAGAATTAATATATTACTTTAGTTATGTACCTGAGCTGAATGACTGAAGCTTTAGGGGTGCATAGAGACCACCATAATTTGTATGACATTTTGAAGTGAATTAAATATTTTTGAACATGCTTCTTCGACAGCCAGTGTTCTATTTTTCAGATCAACACAAAGCACAATGATTACTTCAAATTCAGTATTTTCAAATTTACATGTTTAAAGTCATGCAAGCTGCAACTTCCCTGTCAAAATTACTGGCTGCCAAATTTATACCTGTTTCTTCAGCTGTACCTTTTGATATTTAGAGTTTTTAAATTTCTGTAAAGTAGATTTTGTAGAATGTAATGTGTTCACTGCCTTTGTGAAGCGGTATATAATTGTATAATTTCTGTGTGTAAACTGAATGCTTGGGCTTTCAATACAGTATTCATATAAAGCAATAAATATTAATGTTATGAAATATTTGAGTACATTTTTATCAAAATATGAAAGAATCCCTTTTTTTTAAGTTTCAGATACCTGAACTACACAGATGAGCTTCTAAAAGTGATGCAAACAATTTCTGACACTGTATCATATGCTTTTGGGTGATTTGGGGGGCAACCACGAGTTTTACGTTTTGACTACTTAAATTGTCATGACTATAAATACGAAAACGATCTGGATCTATTTATGTTTGTAGGATAATATACTACTGACTGACTTGACTGTCAGATTCACAGCAGCTAGATGATATATTTATGTCTAATAGTTGGAATAAAATCTTAACATGGATTTACTGTACCCAAGAGGGGAAAAATTAAAACATTGTAAATTTTAAACATTTTCAAAAATGTTAAAATGAAACAAATTTAAGTTTAGAAATTTTGAAAGTTTCTTTAGAATATTTATGAAATTGTCAGTAAACCTACCTAAGATCCTGTGACCTTTGATATTTTTTATTTTAATTGTAGTGCCATGGACCATTTGTAAACAAATTGATGTACTTTTGTTGGTTATAAGTTGAAGATTTAGCATTAACGACTTTGAGGTCTGTGGTTTTATTTGTAAACTTGCAATTGCTATATTTGCAAGAGCAAATGTATTTCTTTATTAAATAAAGTACAATAATGGTGAATGTACCAAAGTGACATCACTTAACTCTATGAGAGATCTGCATTTTAATCTATAGTTTAATAGTTTTAATATTTATTAGATACTCATATGTTGATCATAGATCAAACTTGTTGCTGTTTATACAGATAATTGTAGAATGCTCATGGAATATCTTCTTTAGGGTAGGTGGAATACTTCTGTAGTTAAATTGGGAAATCCTTGTTAAGCTGGTTTTAGATACTGATGGCCATTGGAAGTAAATTTCCACAAGTATGCATAGGTGCACTTAACACAGACTTTGCTTAATGAAAATGTCAGTTCTAATA